CATGGAATGCTGACGTTGATACATACTGCGCAGGTACGTCAACCAATTTTGATGCCCTCTTGTTGGTCGTAGTAGTATTGTTTTTGCATCTAGCGTGCGAAATGCTACTTTGGTGATGGAGAACTGACACAACCGGCTTTATAACAAGCCGCGGTGAGAGAAATGCAACACCGCAACGCCGTGATCCGGAAGGTCTACTCTCGACTGGCGACCACGGCGACATTGGCAAACATCAGTTTATGTCTTTGACATATATAATTGAACTTCAATAAAAAAAATTGCAAGAAATTATTCCTCATGTCACAGTTCAGGTTTTATTCAGTTTCTTGGATAAAATAAACAACCGGTATTTTACATCAACCATTCAAGTTATTGCATGGAGAAATATTCAAGCTGGAAGATAGTTGTTGCAACTATGATTTGTTAAGTGGAATGAAAAAAATCCTACTAATGAGTTCATACACAGAATGAGAAGTGGTGTACCTATTCGCACTTCAATGCGGTTTGTTTTGATGTATTTGACCAATGTGCACAAACAAACCGCTTTGACAGCTTTCGAAAACTCCGGTGGGTGTAAATACATAATTATTGTAGAATGTGGTGTGCCATTTAGTTGGAATACAATATCCATATCGATGTGTTTGTATTCTGACAATTATTAAATGTGCCGCCATTCTGTAGTAGGTGAAGATATCATATTCTAGGGTTGTGAAGAGTATTCGTCAGGAGCTTCAAAAGGATGTTTCACAAGACCTCCTTTCCATTCATTTTTTTCCTAGATGGCACCCTGTAGTCATCTTGAAATTTTCATTTGTAAATTTCACTCCAAAATATTTATGCAAAAATTTCATTAACCCAAGTTTAAATTTTTTCAGTCGACCCGTTCAAGAAATAAAAGGGGCGAACATTCAAGAAAAGCACTGGATAATAAAAAAATTAAAAACTCGAGTGAAAATTCTTCAAAAATCTGAGTCATAATTTGGGATGTAACATTCCGATTTATAACTCATCATTTTGGAAAGTTCATTTTTTTTATTTCGGGTGTCCCTTCCAGGGCTTCGTAGGATGAGGTGGAAAAAATATGTAGTTGAAAACGACGATACAGGAATGTTCGCAGTCACTGAATGTTGAAAGATATACCTACCTATAAGTACTACGTTCCCGATTTTCGTTTTTTTCGCCAGATCCGATTGAGAAACTGTCAGCACATGTTATTTCTAAAGTCGATCAGTCTCGATATTGCCACCTTTGATATCGGTTTCGATAAATCGTATCGTTCACAGGTCCCTCAACACCGTCCGATTTCTCATTTGAGTAGAAAAAACACCATGTGATTATTACTGCAATAAAATGGAGTATTCTCCGCTCCCCACTTTCACGGTCCAAAATTGATTTTTTCGCAAAACAAAAAATATGAAATCTTTCTAAATTCAATATGTTCATCCGTGTTCGCAATTAATTGAAGAGGATCTACTCAATGAGTATTTCATTTCGCAATATTTCGTTTTTATTTAAACATCCAGATGACTTCACCGCTTCAGGCTGTAAAAGATGAAAGAGTTTCAGTCCAGTAGACCAGTTGACATTTTCCCGAGGTATTTTTAATTAAACATTGTTTCATTGCTGAAGTCTATATGCAATATGTAAGCAGATACTCTTAGTGGAAGCAGTTTCCCTTAATGCGAGCGTAATTATTTGACTACGGAAGCGGAACGTTGCAAACTAAATTAATTTCAACTTCCACATCCAGATATCGTATTATTGTTCTTGAAAACTCGACGAACTTCCGAATAAATATAAATCAGTAATCATTATTTTCTGGATATTGCTCAATTCGAATTCACTGAGCATTGCTTTCCGCTTTCCCGCATTGGTACAGTGCAAATTATTAAATAGCTGTCTATAGTGGTAATTGAAGCTCCTTAGCTTGGATTTGAAGGAAACGATGAAACGAAGCATTGTTTAGAACAATTCACCTTTTTTGCAAACTGGTTATATAGCTAGCTGTCATGCACTTTTATTTATTTATTTATTTATTTATTTATTTATTTATTCATCAACGGACAAGCCAATTATACAATTTACAAAAAGAAAGTATAAAAATACAGAGCACGTACATTTTCCTGTTCATGAAGTGAACGGCCATCTTGAAAAACCGTTGTTTTTCATGAATCTCTGCCTAATTTATATTTGCAACTGTAAATTAGCTTGATACGATTTTTTGTCAATACATCTATCTCATAATCTACAGTTGCAATGGGCTTATATCACACAAAAATTTTATTTCATAATTCGATAGAACTCACCCAAACTAGCTCACCACCGCAAACCGTTTCTTGCTGTAAGCTCCCTACGTTTTATAAAAAATTATTGAAATCCCCGCTTTTTCGGACCTCTGAAAACGAGGCGATGATGTGACGTCAAAACCCTAATACTGAAATAAGACTATTCCAGACAGAGATGAATGATACATGATTTCTGACAGAGTGAATTAGCGCGAGATCACAGTTGAAAGAATTAATATATCAGTTGCCTCAGTCTCCGTCGGGCGTTTGGTATTTTAACTATGGCGAGATGAGGTTTCTACGTCATAAGAGGGTCCGTTTTTGTAACATTAGGCAGATACAACTTTCTACACATATCTCCTAATTCACAGTTAATGTTAATGTTACAGTTGATGAGGCAAAAATAGTTATTTGTTTCACTTTGCTGCCATGTTAAACATATAATTTTTTCTCCAAATGTTATAAAACTATTTTTTTGTGATGTGTTTGTGTTAAGATTGAAAACTCGATCATTTTGTATTCACCCAATGTCAATGTCAACATCGATCACCAATTCCATTCATTAAACTCACTGGAAGTCTTGAAAACACCTACATTGAAATTTGGAGTCAAATCGAATTTTTTTTGTTTCCTCAAAAAACTAAGCTGGATACAAAAATCGCACAGAGGATGAAGAAGTTGTTATCTTAATAGATAAATCTGATAAAAATATGAAACTCGGAAAAAACCGGTGGTGTACAATGACATTCACTATGAATATCGATAAATTTACCCACTGTGACGCCACTGGAAATAATATTTCTAATCTAATTGCACTAGAAGAAGCTCCATATAACTATCAACAAAACCACAACGTTTTATTGAAATTGATGAAAAGACAATTGAGAAATGAATAAAAAAAGATTTTTCATGGAAATATTAATACCCTGTATCTCGAAAACGAAGCAAGTTAGGCCACCCCTTGGATTTTTTCGGTGTTATTTGGATTCACCCTGTATATTTGACTTTTCCATGACGATCTATAATAGGTTCATTCGGGTTCCGATTTCAGAATTGTTCAAAAATCGTTGGTTCTCAAAATGCGTAGAACTAGTGCGCAGTCGTTTCGAATACTAGGACTGTTTCAGAACGGTTAAAAAATTATGAAAACCCGAGTCCCGAACGCGGCAGACGAGAACCTCTGAAAACATAACCTCTATTCAGAATTTGCGAAAAAGACAATGGTTTGGCACCTGTATCTTTATTAGCATAATATCATGAAGCTTCAAAGTCTCCTTTGAGTCTAATCACAATATCTCTGGAAACCCTCTGTGGAGAAATGGTGAATATATTCCATCATAGATTTCGTAGCTAGATTTTTAATATGTTTTGTCCCTTGTACCTACATGAATTTCAACACCCACCTGAAATGTTCAATGAATTGTGTATCTGAATATAATGGCGGTCTCCCCAACATAATCCTCCATTTTTCGGTTTATCTAACAAAAGTTCGAGAATTATCAGATTTATTACAATGTTTTCAGCAACTTCAGCAAGTAACTCCCTTACCACTGCTTCCTGAAGATGAAGATCTACTACTATCAAATGAATGTACTAAAACTCCATGATATTGAGAAAATATTGAAGAGCAATAAACAGTAGAATAAACAAAAATATATCATTATGACGTTACGCTACAAAAGACAGAATCGAAAACTAAATGCAATGAGCATTCGCCAAAAATAATCCTAGAACGTTTCATGCTCGAGAGCAGGTACTGGTTTCAGATAGTTCTAGGACCGAACCCGAACACGTAAAGAGTCAGGCTGCTTTCACATGCATCCGTCACGGATCTACGTTTGCGTGATTTACGTACACAAGTTTGGGTCCCTTCCGGATGGAATGGTTCCGTGAGCTCCGTTGTTATCCCTGTTTTGCGCAAATATCTCTAAGAAATAAAACGATATGGAAGCAGAAAATAATAAAGAGAAAAGTCAAGAATTTGTATATACGATTTATTATGGAGAGATACAGAATATTGAAAGAAAAATCGTAGATTTAGGACCTATCTTCACAGACAATTCTCGAAGATTTCATGACGCAAGTGACTATTTGGCTAGAGGAATGGATGAAAACTGCAATGAAAACTTTTTCAATTATTTTAGAATGTTGCCTGATATGTTTTATTTATTGCTCGGACTCTTGGAGACTACACTTGAAAAACAACCAAGAACCAGATTAGAAATTACGCTTCGTTATTTGGCTTCTGGTGACAGTATGATTTCTATTTCATATCTTTCTCGTGTTGGGTTCTTGAGTTTCAGAAATAATTCATGAAACATGCCTTTTGAGGCATTTAAAACACATCCATAGATAAACTACGAACACATCCCACAAAGTTTATGAGTTGTCGACGGTTTAGGAAAAATCGAAAAAATTAAAATATTCACTTAACCTAGCTTTCTTCTCATCACGGACAAATTAAACGGAGGAAACTTAATGTTGAGCCAACTGGGTACGTTGCGATTGCCGACTCATCCGTGTCGATTTCTATTGGTCAACATTCATCACATGATCCAACGGATCCGTGAAGACGAATGCATGTGAAAGCAGCCTCAGTCCTAGAACAGTTCCACAAAACCCGAACGCGACCGTATCTACTGCGCAAACTCCTGACAGTTCTAGAACAGTAATAGTTCGAACCCGAATGAACCTAATAGGACTTCGTTATTTCAGTACAGGAACAAACTCAACGAGCAACAGAATCAAAGGCTGTACCAGCAGCGCGAAGCTCTGACGGCGCGACAGGAGGAGATGAGCGCCATCGACAAGAGGATATCGGAGCTGCAGGAACGGCTGCACAAGAAGCGGCTGCTGAATCAGCAGCTGGCCAATCAGATCAGCGCGGCGTCGCACAAGGCGGCGTACCATCAGTTGGTCAGGTCAGTGCTTTTTTTGTTATGTTCTGGTTCCCACGAAACGGGATATCTTGTAATGTTCAGAGAACATCGTGAGAACCAAGGGATATAAGGTATGAATTGGTGTTCTTCTTATATAAATAGTGTGCCATTCATTCTATTGATATTAGTTGAGTTGTCTGTCTTATAAAGTAGATTTCCTTGCTATTCCCATTGGAATTATAGTTTCTACCACATAGCTTAACAATCATCATTAGGCGATAGGTAAAGGCAGCAGATGAATTTGGTCAGTTTGGTATCGACTAGCTTGAACCACATCACATCAAAGTCTTTCGGTTCCAAACTCTCTACACGCTGGCATGAAAGTTTAGCCTTAGCGTAGAGGCAGACTCCACCTTTGAACCTGAATCGAGAATGGAGTTCGTAACCAGGACAGAGCATGTCGAGCTTGTTGGTAGACGAATTCACTTGAATTTCTGTTAGTGCCAGAATATCTGTTTTTTTCGTTTGTTGATGATGGTGGACGTCCGCGGATGTTGCAAGAATTAATCTTCAGAGATGAGTAACCTCGAGTACTTCTCGCCTGGAAATCCGAATGGAGAGGTATTTTACTTCCGGAGTGTTTTACTCTAGGCTAGGAGACTTCATCATCTTCATTCATAGAGTTTGGTAGTTTAGCTCGAATTCGTCTACGTCCATGCACTTTATTTATCTCTTGAAATAATTTCTTCCTAATAATTGAATCATGCACCGACATAAATTACTTTTTCTACGCACATTACTGATATTAGATTGCATTTGCGAGACGGACAGTTTAGCGAAGCCCAGCAAAAGCAAAATTTGCGAGTCTAATAAGGTCCCTTTTGATCCGTTCATGTATCAAGAAATATTTAAAGAAAATGAACTTTCATACTCATTCTATGTCTATGGACATTGATCACGCATTTATTTTCACCCCAGTTTTTGAAGGAATTGTTAAGCACAAATTTATGCAATAAATTGGTATTTATTTTTTCCACGAAGATGAAGCAAATTATCAAAACAATTCAAGAGACCAGAATGTTGTATTTTCAGTTGGTCAATACTCTCGATAGGTTATGAAGATACAGAATACAAAAAAATCAGTTGCGCACATTTTATTGACAATAATATTCGGTAGGTTGGACTTCCGGGACGCCACTGGATTTCATAATTCCAATGGAATGGCTACATCAGCCCCTCATGACAAAAAATATCATTGCCAAATTTCAAGAAAATTGGTAAAAGGCCATTTGAAATATTCATAAAAAACCGATAATAATTTCCAGGCACCCTGTATACAGGGTGATTCTGGTTTCATGGTACACACTGAATTGGGTGATAGATATCATTTCAACCAAAAAAGTTTATACAAACATGAGTTCGATCTCGATCAGTAGCGGAGCTACAGAGGATCACATTTAAATTATTTCTTTCTATTAATTGAAATATCTCGCTAACTTTTGAAGATATCGATTTGAAATTTGGTGTAGTTGATACTTACCATAAAATCATAATTTTAAGCATCCTCAAGGTTTTCAAAATCTACAGGGAGACTCGTTTTGGGAGGGGGGGGGTAGAGGCTTCTGTATCCTCTCCCCCCCAAACTTTATTTGTACTACGCCTCTGACATCTCCCAGTTCCCTAATAGGATGCATCGCTCAATTTGGGGGCTTTTTGCCTTTGATATTCTTCATCTGAAATACCACAAGTGATACTATTTTGCCGGAAAATTCGGCGCTTGTTACGACAACGTGATGCCTAATAATTTAGTACATTTCATTGCATTCTCAACGAAACATAAAGGCGATATCGGGCAAAATTAACATGTTTATAGAACGAATATGCTTATTTATCTCGAAAACAGTTCGTTTCTAGAAAATAATTGAGAAACAAAAAAGCATTTAAATTGAACGATCCAACTCATTTGTTAATTAGAAGATGTCAAAGGCGCACTATGGGCCTTTACCCCCAAAAATGTATCACCCTGAAGATTTTGAAATTCTTTGAAATGCTTCAAATGCTGATCTTCTAGAAAGAATTAACCACACCGGATTTCAAATTGAAATCTCTAGAAGCAAGCCAGATATGTCAATCGAGATTTCAATTGATAAACAAATAATTGAACTTTGACCCCTTTTAGCTCCGCTACTGATCGAGATCCCATTTTTATATAAACTTTTTTGATAAAAACGATGAGATCTCTAACCCATTTCAGTTTGAACCTTGAAACCTGAATCACCCTGTATATGTTATATAACGGTCTAGAATCTAGATTGTACCTATATGCCAGTGAGGTGGACTTATGAGAATTATGTTAAACAAAGATCTAATAATTTACAGTGTATTCTGAATGGCTGCATAAAAACTCACAGTAAGGAATACTTATTCCAAAGCTATTCTAGCGGTAAGAAAGGACCATTGGCATATTGCTACTTGTATACTGTTTCGTGCTCTTTGCCTGATATATCTCTTTTGTTTTTCTCATTAATTGGTTTCCTCCATATTTCTCTTTATGGGATGCTTTGATTTGAAATACCACTAATTGGTGGTCATTTAGTTATCAAACGACCTCTACGAAACTCTTTGCATCTTATTCTTACCCAGCGAGCACAAAAACATCTCAGAGATGTTAAAATTACGAGATGTCGAGACATTGAACCTCCACTGCGATGTCCTGTTCACACATGAATAGAACTTCTATAGAACAGCCAATGTCCGCCGCAGGCGGCGTTTATAAAGATATCCTTGGGAGGTCACAAAAGCGTTTTGCGCACATTTAATCATTGCAAATAAATCATTTCTGGTGGGTATATTATAGAACAAAGAAGAAAATTATAAAAGAGCTTTCCCCGGTGGGAAATCGAACCTACTCTCTCGTGATTGAATTTTCACGATACTCACACCTTGTCCACTGTGCTATAGGAAGCATTGAGGTTAGAGAATAAATATAGTAGGGTGAGTCAGGGGATACATTATAAATATTGATACAAGAATAACATCCATATCATATTTTGATACGTTTATGTGTTTTTTGAAAAAATTTCGAATTGAATGTTCAAGGAATATTTGTTGCCAGGATGATATTCTATGGTCATTCTGAGAATATTCTGAAATGGGTACGAACGTTTTGAACGTTGTCAGAATATTCCTGAAATATTCTGTGCTCTTTGAAATATTATTACGGATTAGGGACGACCCGTCTGGTCATTTTTAATTGAAATGAATAATACACCTATATGTCGTTGCTTCTGTTCCTTGGTATATATTGTAATAATGGAATAAAAAGACGCCTTGAACGCAAATGCAAACAGTAACAACAAATTTGGAAACAAATCCGAATTCATCGTATTGTGACGTAAGCATGCGACGTTGCGGTGGGGCAAACGAAGAAATGTAACACACGAACAAAAACAATACTTCCAATATCCTTCAAAGACCTTTTTGAGAAGTGCATATCAAGTCTCAAAAAAACATCCTCATGCCAATATATTTTTAAATATCTCAAAACATCCCAGAGATACTTCTTCGGTAGGCAAACAATGAAATGCCACAAAAGCAATATCCTTTAAAGACCTCCTTGGGAACTTATATCACGTCTCAAAAAAAAACATCCTGATGCATACATTTTTAAATCATCCCAAAACATCTCAGGGATCCCTTTCAGTAGGCATACAAAGTAATGAAACCAGATAACATAAACAATACTTCTATTTCCTTCAAAGACCTCTTTGGGAAGTGCATATTACGTCTCAAAACAACATCTTTATGTTAACATCTTCAAAATATCCCAAAACATCCCGGAGGGATGTTTGTGCTCGCTGGGATGGAAAAGGCGAATCTTGAATCAATGCATGCAAGGTTGAATATATTTCAAAAGTGTTCAAAATGAATAATTATCAACATTCAGAGGGGAATACACTGTATGTCGTATTGATTTTGTAAAAATGGATTCTACCCAACGAAAAGAATACGAACTTCAATATTCGGTTGGTATAGTTCAATAAAATAAATATTTGTCTTGTTTTAGTTTGTGTTTTGCCTCGTCGCCATGACATCTCTGTTCGGCGTGTCAGAATAATCGAAGTCAATATAATTTGCATTATCAATCCTCGCAGGCTGACGGGCAACGCGGACCAGAACAACCAGGCGTTCGCAAGGAAGCAACAACAAAACAACCAGGCGAACGGATTATCCAGGGGGAACATCGCTGCTGTCGAGCCCTACAATCACGTCCCCAGCATCCAGCAGAGCCATCAAATCAAGAATGTTAATAACCAGCAAGAGGTGAGCCTCGATAACGGAGATTAGAGTAATCTGCCCCTAGGCATTACGGCTATTTTCGATAGGTCAATTTGGACCTCCAAGTGTCTTTTTCTGTTTTGCTTCTACATTCATTCATCATAAATCGTAAAGGCGGATCGAAACAGTTTTCATTATGATACGCAACTTTTATTTTTTCATGATTGGTATCAAAATGGATGAAACAGGTATACAATAAAATACACATATTCTTGTTTACTGTGCCCGTCTGAAGTCCGTTGCCTCCTACTAATTTTTGAACCACGAAATTTAGAAGGCTCAAATAGGAAATGATGGCTCAGCGCCATCATGGAACACGTATATCATTCAATTTCAAAAATCTTTTCATAATTCTTAACAGTTTGATTTATTGCACTTTACTTCCAAATTCGATAGTTTTCAAAATATCAACGTTTAGAAAAACTGACGCTTTGGTCATTTAAAACCCAACCAAAAACTCGATGTTGCCTCCAATCAAGTTTGCCTTGGAAAAAAATTTTTGTCGCAAACTCGAATGATGCTTTCAATAACCGCGACAAAGATTTTTTTCCACAGCAAACTTGATTGGAAGCAACATTCAAAATGGCACTTTTCAAACGTTGATATTTCGAAAATTATTGAATTCATGAGTAAAATGTATTAGATGAAACTGTTGAGAATTATGAGGAGATTCCTAAAATGAAATAATATACGGGGTGTTCCTTAAAAAAGAATCAAGATGCCGCCCAGCCGCCCTTTCAAGACTTTGAGCGGTTGTTTTTTCATGAAAGAGTAAGTATTCTTCTCTTATTCGTTGCTATATACCAGGTGGTTCAACAATTAATAGGGTGGGAATGGACTTTAGACGGGCACTGCATGTAATACAACAAGTGTATTCATGATTATGGAAATACAAATCCCGCCGATATTGAGAAACAAATTATGTTGCTTAGAAAACACACTCGCGCTATGGTAAACAACCATAATATGTTTCGAAAAAGATGAGGAATTTTCGGTAATCATTACTAAAACGAGTTGTATTTGTTAAGATTATTCCACTCATTATTTTATGGACAAAACCATATTTTTTTCTGTGACGGGAAAAAAGTTTCGCATTTCATCTCTGTTGGCAGGTTATAAAATGTCACTTTTCATGAATAACTTTTTTCCCGTGGAAAAAAAGTGAGTACCTTTTTCCCGGATATATATACACTGTTGATGGCTTTTGTTGTGCTATAGTTCCGAAAAATGAGTCAATAATACCGTCTCCGAGAAAGAACTGCAAGTCCTTTTATCTTCCATTCGACTTCGCGGTTACGTATATTACTAAATAACTAGTAAATTCGCAATTTTTTGAAATCTAATCACAGAATTGAACTGACAGAAGTGACATCAGATGTTTGATTACTTCAAAAGTATGATAAAGATGCCTACAACGCAGGTGTCCCTACTGTTAAAAACTTGAAATTTCACGACGATAATTTTCAGATTTCAAAATAATGTAATATCTTCTCAATATTCGTCCTTTCTTCTGTCACAGAAAAAAATAGTGTATTATACACGGGAAAAATATTAGATTTTATCTCACGGTTTTTCTCCCTTGTGTAATAAATAACTATTCATCAGCGGCTCACTCCACTATTAATTGTCAAATGATCCAAAGATTGTCGGGTTTGAAATTATTTTATAGTTAGGAGTGTAGCGAATTCATACTCATGAGTTTATAAGGTTTCGATATTAAAAGTGCTCGAAATGCCGATCATACAAAATTCTTAAATTCTTAATTAAAAGTTAGTGCCTATCACGATTTCGTGTTGAGTTCCTGAATTTGAAAATATTAATATTATGACACCCATGACAGCCTGCTGCATGTAGGTAATTTTGTTTCATATTTGATCAAACTACTAATGAGGAAGCGGAATACAAAATCGGAAACACAGCATAGCAGTATCCAGTGTCCAATCAACTGCCGAAATACAAAATCGAAAACATATTGTTTTCGATCATCAACACAGATATTTCAACCAAACCAAAAACGACAACAAATAATGTTTTAATCCACTGGATGGAATCCACTGAATTAGAAAAAACGAATTTGTTCTTGGCCTTCTTTGTCCCCGAAATAATTATATACTGTGTTCACAATCCTGAAATAAAAATGTTTTGCTTCTTATTTTCATCCTGAGAAGTTATTTGTTATCTGTATTCTTCCACCTCTCGAGTGCTCTGGTTAGGTTATGTTATGTTAGGTTGGGTCAGGTTAGGTTTGTCATTATGTCGCGTGAACTTCGCCTGCCACTTGTCAGTTTCATCGATTATCTACTTATGTTACAGAATTCGGCATATCACCACCTATATCAACAGAAGCATCATATCAAGAAAGATATCGACTCACCAAACAGCAATCATGAGATTCAGGACCTAGCGAACAAAATGTCAAACATTTACATCCCTCGGACAGACGAGAACGATATATTGAAGGAATTCACGGTGTCTAAAAGTGACCCAAAATATCAAACATTACCTTACAACACAAAATTCACTGTTAATCTCGTGACGAATAGGATACCCAAAAACGACCATAACTTCAATAACAACAACGACAACCACAAGGAGGAATTGAATAGTCACATATCAAATCACGTGAACGGCAATTTCAATATCCAATCGACGCATATGACTGTACATAGTGCCCCGTTGAACATGGTGAACAAGAATATTGCCACTCCGTTCAACCAACCTGAACTACCTGTGAGAAAACCTAGTGATAAGGACATATTAGCAAACGGAATCGAAGATGTGATCCAAAAGCAGCCTAGAGAAACATATCCCCAATCAACAGGAAGCAACAGTAGCAGTACTCCAACAACATATCAGGTGAGAAATATTTTCGCTAAATTTGGGATCTAATGAACCAAAAATCAGCCAATCATTACAAAATCACAGCGACAACCGATTCCGATACTTTGGGTAAACTCGAACATCGACAAATGCTCAATAAGCAATGTTCTTTCGATAACTTTCATACATCAAGTTTGTTCGCGTTCACATTATCACCTCACAATCCGAAACCATCAAAAGCATGCGCAGTGAATGTTTTGTCGTGAAATTTCTTATCTGGTTCCTCGAAGGACCAAATGTTATCTTCGTGATTGTACTTTTTTTTAGCTTGAAGGACCACCCTTGTTGAAGGGACGGGAAATAACTTACTTGACTTGAACTCCAATAAGTTTTATATCTATAACTAGAACGATCTACATTCACAGGCAAAAAAAAAGACCAGCAAAAAATTTGCCAAATTGATCTCCCTTTCACTCTCTCAATTCTTGTCCGATTTTGGTGGAATTTCGACCAAATCGTAGATTTACCTCACCTAACCTGAATAGTAGTTTTCAAAAGAAGCTGATAGCTTGATCATTATACAGGAAAAAACAATAGTTATTATTTCACGCTTAACTTCTCAACGCCCTGTGGCGGTTTTGAATTGAAGTGTGGTCCCTTTATAGCATGTTTCTTGAGAGAAAAAAAGTATGAATATTTCAACCTTGCTGAACCCACATGAACTTATCAATTTACAACTTCAACAATTGATATCACTAATTTCTACTACATTTTTTTAGCACTCACTCGAAGAGAGAAACCTTAATTACTAAAAACAAATGAAAAACAGACCTCCTAGAAGTAGTCAATAAAGCTTATGCCTTCTGAAGGTTGAATTAAAGCATTCAATCGCCGTGGCATCGAGTTGATAAAATTTCTCAAGCAGTCTTGAAGATTTGCCTCAAATTCTCCTTGAAGGGAGAATCGTAGCTCTTGAAGGCCAGGCGAAGTTGAATGATCTTCTGGAGTTCATCCCAAAGATGCAGGTTCGAAATTATAGTTATTGAAAATTGAAAAATTCCATTTTTCAACACTTGTATCTTCTCTTCAAAAGAAGATATTGACGTGAATCAAGAACTGATGTGTTGAGAAAGGACGAAATGGGATCACACTTCGATCCGAAACATAATTGTGCAGAAGGTTAGAGAATGGTTCTGAATTATTGTTGATAAAAAAGGGTAGGTATACGTATAGGTTTCTAGCATTCTTCCATGTCATAACCTGAATATGCCTCGAATCACGTCGAGATGTATACTACACTTTCGAAAGAGTAGACGAGAAAACGGGAAAACGCGTTTACGTCTATCTGATTTCTAAACCATTATTGAATTTGATGAGTGCCTGATTCTGTTCGTTTGCACTCTCATCCTCCATTAATTCCATTTGAAATGTATGAAGCTTGACCGAGAGCGTGACAGAATAGTCTAGTTCTCAGGCAACAATATAATGGAATTGGAGCTTGCTATCGTCATTCATTTCCAACTCTTTTGAAGCTATATTGGCCAGTTTTCTGACGACATCAACTCGTAAAATGAATTGATTGTTGCCTTTCAACATTTTATCTCGCTTCCTTCATTATTCATAATCTTCAATATCATTTCCCCAGAAACCAATAAGCAGCGTCGCCCCAACCTCCATCCACCACACGGGCATCCTCTCCAACGTCTACCAGACGAGCTCCATCAAAGTCCAGCCCGTAGAGCCCCAAACCATCCTGACCACGACCCCCTCCACCAAAAACCCCCCCAACTCGTCACCCATCGTGCAATCTCCGCAGTCCCTCATCTTATCCCCTCCCCAATCCAGCAGCACTCCTCTGAGCAACACCCCCTCAAGCAATACTCCCTCAAGCCACCCTCCGGAGGGTGACAAATCTCCCAAGCCAGCCTTGCCCCCGAAGCCGGCTATCAAACCGCCCCCGAGGCAGACTCAACAGGTGGCGAGCGAGGACACTTTGCCGCCGCCATTGCCGCTCAGCGACCCGCCAGAAGAGAAGCTGGTGGCTAGCAGGATAGCAGCTCTCACACAAAAAGGTATTTGGCAATAGAATATTACATAACAAGAGTTGTAAAACGCATATTGTGCTCGAAGTGGAGAGAGTAACTCCACAAGTGCCTAATTGCTTTATAACTTGAGAAATGTACTATACTTTTTCTACGACTACACTATTCGTCCTTCAGGATAGTACAGATATTGTGTGAAGACACAAATATCGACTACGTCTCCCGTCACTATAAGCTATCTGCATGAGAGGTTACAAATGACAATTCTTGTATATGTTTATCGGTAAATCGCATACCGGAACATTTTCTTCAATGTGAACTGAAATGAAGTCGTTTTCATTATCTTGACAACCTTAATAATAACAAAAAACACATTCGATGAACATATGAAATTATTATAATGGTTATTTATAGTCATTGTGCAGTTGTTGAAAATGGCAGAATATTTTCGGAGATGACATGATATCATTCCTGAGTAATTTTTCTTAAGCGATTTCGTATCGTTCACGACACTTCGTATATTGTCATCTTGGCGTGTGCCAGGATTTCGCTCAAAGCTTGCTGTGCGTAAGGAGAAGCTTACTGAAGTTGTTTTGGGTACAATATTCATCACTTACAATATCAGTCGTAGGAGAAAACAAGTTGGCTCGACCCAAATGCGTGAATTCAATTTATACAGTGAGGACGTGAAAAGTCCTCCCCCCTTTAACTTTTAAACGGAACGAGCTAGCGAAGTCTGGTGAATTTCAGATAAAAAGGTAAGTACTTCTTTCACTACTATTTGGCATGAGAATGGTTGCGCTCACGTGGCCTGATGTCAAGAGCGCACTATCAACTTTTTTTTATGTAAAGGGGGGCGTGGTTTTGAAAGCCTTTCGATTCTCTATCTCTAATATTTCGTCGAACTGTGAAATCATAACAGAAAATCACCCTTCCCCCCGGATGGAAATATATACTCATCATCTATATTTCCAATGAAGATTAGATATATTAGGTTTTATTCACTGCTCATAGATATGAAAACACAAATATATGAATAATTCATATAAGTAGAGGTAATGTCAACAATTAACGAATAATTCAATTAATCGTTATAATAATCAGTAACACCATAGATGTAACAATATTGATTAGGAAGATTATAGCATTATACAGTGTGTCCAAGATAAAAATGTCTATCATGGGGTAAAGTTGATGATGGTTTCTCCGAAAGGAAACGTCGTACGGAAAATTTCTCAACGATGTTTCGTAGAACTGAAAAATTGGCAATAAGAATATCTCTTCGGTTTTTCTATCTCATTAGATATTGTCCGAAAAATATTAAAACGATCCCTATGATACACATCCTTACCTTGGACACAGTGTATATACAAGGGTAGCAAATTTAAGAATGTTCTGAAATTCAAATACTGAGGTGAAATATACAATACTTATACCGAGTTTTTTGATTATTGTCACTAAAATGCACTCCCGCAGAGTTTGTTGCTTTCTTCCCGACTCACCTTGTATAGTTGTCAATCATACATGATTGATTTTCAGGCAAATTCCAGTTCGAACATGCACTTTCCATACATACTCTATTCAAAATCAAAATAGGAGATTGATAATCATTTTGAATAACACTGTTTGACCTACTCACTAAATTTTTCATTCCCAATGCTATCAGATTGACCCTAATATTTACAGGAGGTATTCATTGCATTTCAAATGGAAAACAATGATTATATTTATCAACGTGAAGTCATACGTAATAATCAGTTGTACAGGATTATCCATCGAAGAAACCAACCCGACTAACTCCAATATTAACGCAATATCTCACCATGAAAAAACCTAATGCGAAAGATGACTGCCGCTATAAGGACTTTCTAACTCTTTCAACAAGTCATATTCTTCTCCACAAACAACAATAAAAAATATTGTAGAAAACAACTAATTCAGGGCGAGATGCAAGAACTACATTAACACGTGACACGGGAGCACACGAAAGAGATCGCTAATGTCTTCCTCACAACCAACTCACATTGAAACAAATGCAATTAATTCAGCCAAACGAATCAGCTTCAAACATTTGATTACTATAGGCAAACGCTTAGTACTCATCAACTAATTGAGGTGAGTTAAAATTGTTATTGCTGTCAATTTTCATATATATTATTCGCAATCGAAGTAGAAGTGTTTTATTCAAGAGATGTACTCTTTGTGGTTCATCACGCTCACAGGGATCAACCTGTACAATTTTTTATAGAGGCCGTGAAGAAGCTTTATTGCGACATTCAGCTACCGAATTTTGTATTTGTTTCTCTGTGAAATATGTATAGGCGTCTGTGACGGATAACCCTGTACATACTCACTCTGGTATAATATACAGATGTGTACTCATCGTGGTCAGTATAACCTATATTTACATAGGTATATAATGTGTTAACTGATACTATTGTTTGTGATATTTCCCTCCTCATTTTGAAACTTCCACAGGTTCAACACCAAGCAACCAAAACACTACCCCCTGCAATCCAGAGATGATAATAAAAGCCAAACCGCTAACAATCAAAAAGCAACCGCTCTGCGAACAACCCAAACTACGTTCCGTCAACTCGTACTCAAAACTCAACGGCCTAACATCAAACCGCAGGATAGAAATGCCGCCAGCCTTCCATTTCCCGGAGCTACAAAACCTAGACAAATCCCCGGAGAGCCCAACGGGCAAAGACGAACCCGACAAATCGTCGGTAGACGAACCAGACAAGGAAGAAAAGCAATTCGAAGGGGTGATCAGGCGGTGCAAAAAGGGCAACTTGAAGCAGACCGGCAAGTCGAACTTGTCGAGACGCGTGAGCTTCGATCCGCTGGCGCTTCTGTTGGACGCGAGTCTGGAGGGCGAGCTGGAGCTGGTAAAGAAGACCGCGACGCAAGTTACCAACCCTAGCGCGGCAAACGACGAGGGCATCACTGCCTTGCACAACGCCATCTGTGCCGGCCACCTGGAGATCGTCAAGTTCTTGGTTAGTACGATAAAACTAAACTAAACCCAAACATGAAAAAAAATACGTCATTTCCCAGTTCGGCATGCGTATTGGGAATGAGCTCCTCTTCCGAGTTCTATTGTAGCCCTCTGTGAACAGTCTAACACAGCGTTACTCAAAGTGTACTCCGTAGAAACCCGGTGCTCCGCAAAGCCTCCGAAAGATCTCCCCTGGCAGCCATAATAAAATGGTTACATGTATCAAAATGAATGAAATGAAGTAACCTAAGATGAACATAAATGACTAAACCAAAATGCCTACTTCAACATTTCACTGAATGATTTTTAGTACAGGGTTCGTGATGAATATTCACAACTTGGCACAAAGGCTTTGAATTTTCTTCTGGCTTCTTCTGTCTGCTGATGAGGCATGGTGGGCCGAAACTGTACTGTCTCGCTCCTGCTGACAAATGTGGGCATCTCTGTTCATCGTAGATCTCTTATAGTAAAACAGTGAAAATACGATCATATTTTGCAGCTTCTTTGCCAAACCGGAAAATTATGTAAATTTCCCCCTCTCCATATCTCCGGAACGTTTCATTTAACCAAAAAGTTTCAAGGAACTTTTTTCTCCAGGATTCAGTGTAGATCCTTTTCATATGACATGACCTTCGCGCTCAACCTCATAGTTTTTAAGATATAGGCGAGAAACTGCGAAAAATAGAATATTAAGTATTATAAGACACTATTTTGTCGCACCCGTTTTTTGGTGTACGACGAGCTAAGTGAGGAGTGCTACAAAAAACTCATTGTCCCATTTCCCATTTAGCAAAGAGAGGCGGTGATTTGGTCACTATAAAGATCCATGGAGGATGGATATCCTCAGCAGTTTCTGAAGGTTACATATACATAAAAGCTTCTGTGAAAAGAAAAATTGAGGTAGCTCAAATGTTTTCTTCTCAGCCTCCAACTTCTTCAGCACATTCAGATGCCTCTACCTCACAGTCGCTTTGCACAAACAGTAACCTGAATAATCAGACAAATGAGCACAATTTTGTGTCAACAGCAGCACAACAAAACTTACCAGCAAATTTGATAATAAATGCTCAAGATACCTGTAATGTTATAGTTGAATGTATCTAACAATTGCACCATTCAAAGCAACAACATCATTACGATCAAGAAATAGAATATGTGAAACATTCATTATTCAATATATTCCATTTTTATTGTAGTTCTTTTTGAGGTTATTTTCCCTTCATGGGCTATTTGTTGCGTCCTGTCTCTAGATACAGAGGCTGACCCAGGGACATCCTGCTACGGAATGAGGGGCGTCCCTGATATATCCATAGGATGTACTTGTGTTGTTAGGGTTTCATCCGAATGAAAAATGCAATTTTTTGCAATCAAAATATAGGTGGAAATACCACTATTTTGAGTCACTTGAGCATGTCTGTGTCAAAGCAGCTATCACAGCTGTCATCCGACACGTTTGTTCCTACGAATTCAACTTCAACTTTAGCTCCTAGACCCTAAAGTGTTGCCTAGCAACATACATACTAATCATTTTATTGTGTCAGTATGAGAAACGTCAACTTCAAGAGCTAATTATCGAATAAATATGGACCACTTTTGAGCCGATTGCAGGAAAACGTAGTTTTCAGTCATCATACCATCTCCCCCCCACCCAAACCCGACGCTCGGCAGGTTGTAACTTTTTCCTACGTGTTAAGGAGAGTAGACAGATCAATTGGGCGCCGGGATCAACTTTTTTTTATGTTGGGGTTTGGGTAATTTCTGATCCAGATTTTTTGTACTAGGTGGAGTTCGGGTGTGACGTGAATGCGCAGGACAGTGACGGGTGGACGCCACTGCATTGCGCGGCCAGCTGCAATAATCTGACGATGGTGAAGTTTCTGGTGGAGCACGGCGCTTGCATATTCGCCACGACGTTGAGCGATCATGAGACGGCGGCTGAGAAGTGCGAAGAGGACGAGGAGGGATTCGATGGGTGCTCGGAATATTTGTACAGTAAGTACCCAGCGAACATTAATACATGGGCCATCACTTTTGAAGCGATGTCACCCCAGTGAACTCTAATTGGCTCAATATTGGAATTTTTCAATAGTAAATCGCACAAAAGTTGCCCACTGGCCAACTTGACGCCAATATTGGCGAAGCAGTACTTCCATTTATTTCTTTTTTATGGGTGTTATTCAAGTATGTGGCCAAACTTCAAGGAATGATTATTTTGGTGATTCTGAGACGAAAAGTTCATATAAAAATGGGTCGGGAAATCCATAGTTTTTAATACAGGGTATCAAACTTTTTTAAAGAATCGGTTTCTCATTAATATCTTTAAAATCCTCCACCCAATTTTGTTGTAATTTTGCAGTGTGATTTGTATTGATGAGGTGCTGATCTGACCATAATCGGATCAACGAAAAACCGATTATCAAAAAGAAGGTCGAGTCCCGGCCTCTATCATGAAAACTATGCATTTCCGGACCTATATTTATAGGAACTTTTCGTCTTGGAACCCTTGGGAAAATCACTTCTTGAAGTTTGGCCACATACTTGAATAGCATCCTGTATATTCCTCGATCAACCTACAGACAATATTATTATTTCACAATTCGGAATGTACCGGGCGATTCACCATAAATTACCTTCCCTCTAGCTCACTTATGTTTGAACCGATTCAAAAATGTTGAAAATCATTTTTCATTGAAAGAAGTACGCTACATAAGAATATACAGGGTGCTCAGAACAAACGAACTACACAGTTGATTTTTTTAAATTTCAACAACCCTTACAGACAAACTCATTGAGCAACCCACACTGAGTGTTTTTGGTTTGGGTAGTACACGACCATTAGAAAAGGGCGGAGCGCGCGGTTTATTACAATCCAAGACATATTTCACTACCCACAAGGTTTGCCTTTTGGTGATTTGTCTACTATGACCAATTCTCTGAATATGATATAAGAAATACTATTTCCGTAAATTATTTCATATACTTTCACCCACATTATTTCAATTTCATCATCATTACCATCAATATGTAATATGTAATTATGTGAATTAGTTTAGATCTTATTATAATTATTATTCAATATCACTCCCACTACCAAGATTTTCCTTGTTGGGATGTATGTCTTTATTTACCAATTTTCTTTTGTTTTGCTGGTACTGGTGTACTTATAGGTGAATAAAAATTATTATTATATTATTATTATTCCTCGACTCGAAGCATTTCTAATGGACGAGTGTAACACAAACCAAAAACACTTGGTTCCTATACCCCACCCTGTATATGTATATCAGGAAATCGACTATATATTCGTCACTTGACTTAACCCCATCCTACTCTGTATTGTTGGATTCTAAAACTGATTGTGGAATGAAATGTCCCATTCCAAAAATTCAACTAGTACCATGTATATATTTTTTCCGAGCACCCTGTGTTTTCTGATGTAGCGAAAAAAAATTATGATGAATCATTTCAAATGATTTTTAAAATTTTGGAATCGGTTCGAGAATAACTGATATAGAGGGGGGGGGGCATTTATGATGAACCACCCTGTACCTACTCCTACCTACTTTGGAGGAATCAACATCGCTTTTAATTGTTTTTTTCACCAAACTACCTACTCATTTTCATTCCCTAAAATGATGTTTTTTTCACTAGGTGTACAAGAAAAATTGGGCATCCTATCTGGTGGCTCCGTCTATGCAGTTTTTGATTATACGGCACAGCAACTCGACGAATTGAGTTTCAAGGAAGGACAACAGCTGACCATCTTGAGGAAAGGAGATGAAAATGAACGAGAATGGTGGTGGTCAAGATTAGGTGACAAAGAAGGATACGTTCCTCGGAATCTTCTTGGGGTAAATAGGATTTTATCAAATCACTTTTCTCAACACTATATGAGGCGAATCTAAACTTGACATTTACTTTTTGATATATGTTTTATGTACAAAAGGGTGGGATTATCACACTCGATGACCTAAATGATCTATTGTTTCCTCTGCTGTCACTAAATTACTGAAACGCCTGAATGAGCTCCACAGTGACTATGTCAGTCCTATATAATCCTGTTTCCTTCAGTTAAATGAAAATGTATTGTACCCTTGACTTTGAATGTACAGGATCATTATTTCACTACCAGCACTAGCCTTAAGGTGTCTTTTCAGTCAGCATAATTCCTTATTAGGGATTCTGTCAGTATTGGAGGTAGTTCTTGCTTAGGTTGATGTGATCGTTAAATCTCCTCTAATTATAGTTCCCCAGAAGTATGTCTCATCCTCTCATGTCATATTTTGTTTTTCATTTATTTCCCCAGTTCTCTCAGTATTGTTTTTTATCACCGCTGCAAGAGGTACGGGTCCTAAGAAACATGTTTTCGCCTCTATGAAAGTATCTATTCCTCCTCTAACTTCATTAGGCCATGGAACTTATATATAGGGAGGGTGGCCATGCTATTCTAGCTAATTTGATCCTCTAGACATTCCCAAATCATCTCGAAACTGATTACACAAGAAATCAGCGTGTCGATTTCTATGGTTTTTTTTCAGACGTGCTCGAAATTCTTTATGGACACCACGTAGGGCCATTCCCTTCATGTTATTGTGGAAGTTTCTATATAAGTGTACCGACTAAACACTCCGAACCTTTCCAAGGTTCGTGTGACCAAAGTCAATGACACTTAGGCCTATTGGTATCTCACTTTTTAAATATGCCGTTATTGATTTCACCATATACGACCCATGGTTATTACATAAAGGCCACTCCAAATACCATCACAATATCTGTAAGCCCTACCGCTCACAGTACCTGAGATTCGTTTGAAAGGACCTTTTTCGTTTAGGTTCCTGAAGACTACTCTTCCGAGTCTTGATCTGGTCCATGAAGAAGGCCAACAGTTCTTCTTCTACGAGTAATGGCGGGGGAGTGGCTGGTTGTGCTAAGATCCCGTTATGGACGCCATATAACCTCAGTGCCCTTCATCCATCCCTCATCACGGGTTCCCACAACTTGTATTAGGTAACCAGAGCCTCGTTCATCAATACACGGCCACATAAGCCGATATTCACAAAATGCCTCACACAAATGCCCTCAAAACTGTACTATCTGAATGATCAGAACAAAGATGTCCACGAAATTCTCCATCTGCCGAGCAGCCAAGGCTTGTTCTCCCTGCAGCATATTGAGGTTCAGCTTTGGGGAAGAAGGAAGAGACAGGAATTGTCCAAGAGAAGCCGATAGGAATGATTGAAACTGAATAGTGAAGAGGATACGACATCCAAGATAATTCGAAAATTGATAAGGATCCGGCTAGGGTACCTAGGATTCGCCAATATCGTACTCACAAGTAGTGAGCTCCCGAAGAGGACACCTCTATGGACCTATGGTTGCTTACCTGTATCCAAAATGATGATCATCTGTCGGAGTATTTGGTTCTGGTCCCATGTAATCCTATTCCGTTCGTTTCGTGATTCTGGAACCAACGCGAGCTGATACCGTTTTATGACAATTCCGTTAGGCCCCGTAATGATGCTTCCATCCCATTCAGAATTGGGGCCCAACTTTGCAGTGAATTCCACAACAAATTTGTACTTTTTTTGGTATGTCTTAGATTTGCTTGACTCCGAGCAGAAAACTAGGCTTTCACTTAATGATTCCATCTCTGAGTACCCTATATATGGAGTTTTGTTTTATTTGCTACATTTTCCCCTAATACATGGAGAGTTTGGACACTAAGGATCACCTCCATCTCGGCTGTTTTGACACGCTATTTGATACCTCACTCATCCTTCTGTTAATGAAATATGGAAATATATATTATGCAATAGTCGAAATACCATCTATGGAACATCAATAGCCTCCATATTAAACCGCAATAATCATTATTCTGTTTCTTTTTTCAGTTATACCCTAGAGTGACGAAGATTGAAGATTGAACAAGAATTTGTATAAATGAAGAATTAGTACCTTTGGCCTTTGCTACATTGAATTAAAATTTGGATATTATATTAATAATAATAATGTTCACACCTTTGCTCAATATATTGTTATATATTGTTCAGTTAAAGGTTAGTTTTGTTTACAATTATTAACATTTCTTTTCATTATTGGTTATTATTGTCTTGATTGCTTTAAAGTAATGAGCTTTTAATATATTTTTGAAATGTGTAAGTAAATATATAAATATGAAAATACAACTATTTACAAATAAATATATTGTTATACAGAAAACTTGTTTCATTTAGAGTATTTGAAGAAATTGATAAAGAGGAATCAAAAATGGTGAATATTCAATTTTTTCACATGGCTTTTTCACACTATCTATTTTGAAAATCAAAACCAGCTACACGATAAATCGAGTCTTAGTACTCACGTGCACCAGTTGAATAAAAACTGTCACTTCAATCATTTATGGTGTTTATTACCTTTATATTCTATAGAATTCTGTAGAAGTAGAAATCGAGATACCTAGAATGAAGATACTTGGAACATTTTTCAGATACAAATATACATGGCAAAGTTATTGACCATGACAGGAAATTTTGCACTATCATAAAAGATTTAAGTATGAGTTGATATACTATAAATATACAAAAACATCTCCGCCTGTTCAGTTGTTAGGATGTTATTAAAAAATCAATAAAGCTGTTTCAAGATACCCACTGATTTGAAAACTTGGAACATTGATAGAAAAGTTCCATTGCAGTCAATTCATGTATGGACTTGTGGGCATTACTTGCTACATGGATATTTGTTCAAGGGTTATAAAAATCAATCCTGGACAAATAAATCAGTGACAGGAGATCAAGAAAATCAACAGAAATATTGAAATTATAAGAATAAGTATGAAAATGAAACAGCAAAATTAATATATATCACCCTGATAAGAAACCTTCTAACCCCTCTAGAGATTCACTTCAGAATCGTGCTTGCATGAAGAAGTAAAAATCAATGTCTATTTTGGATATAATTTTTTTGCTATTCACGTTTCTCTTCAATATTCCGAATATTTGTGTTCTTGATGTTTCGAATAATTTTCTCTGTTGTTCATAGTGTGTTTATTTTCACCAGTATAGATATAATTGGAAAACAATTGAATCGAAAAATGAGGACAAATATATTTTTCGAAAGAAATTCGTGACCGATTATACACTCGATTGGAGACTACAACCTGATGCTTCTTCAGTAACCTGATACCCCTGATACCTAACCAAAACAATAAGTATGATCTTAAAAAGTTATTAGGCGGATATCGAAAATAGACATAACAAAATAATTAATCAACACTAATTGATCCGAAGTCAAGGGTTCATATGATAAGGATGCACTTTCGATCAAGTCTTTTTATGTCGATGTGGGCGCCGATGACGCAGGTACTAGACGGGTTTTGACTTCTGAGATTAGAAAACGGAACTAAAGAATATATTTATGAAATGTTAATACCGATAAAGAATACGTCAACATGATTAGAAGATATTCGAGATTATTTGTTGAATGGTTTATTCCATAAAGGGTGGCAATCAGAAAATGAGCAATAGGCAATGAATTTGAAACGAAAAAAGTTATTTGAGAATGCAAAAACTTGTTTCTACAACTTCAAATGGTATTTATTACGAAGTTAATTTCAAGTGCCCTTGATAATGCCCTGGACGTCATGTGGATGAAGGGATCCAATCCAGTTTATTTTCATGTGGGTATGGTAGAATTTAGCCGCTGTCACCAAACAGTTATACACGCAACGTTCACCCTGTTCAAATGAACGTTGGAAAGATGTTGAATTAAATTTCAGATTCTTCATAATTTCCTAGCCCCATTCTAGAATACCAATTTATACTTCATACTTCATACCCATATATACAACAAGACACTGTATTATCAATAGACACGACTCCTCCAGGAATCTTAGATCCGGCTTGGGCTTAACATGCCTGGTTTTCTAGTAGATAGGGGGTGATTTACATACTTGAGTTCAATTGACAGACATCAGATTCAATTTTGATTCTACTCTATTGAACGGAAAAATAAACAAAACCCAGGCAACCGGATGACGAATAGTCACGCCACTGTGACGTACCAAATTGGTAATTTTTCGTCGAAGACGTCACACACCAATTTCTGACATTATCATGACGTAGATAGACATTTAATGGCAAGAGTGTGAGAGAAGGAAATTTAGGAGTGAATATAACATGCTATACGTTCTATGACGTGATTATAACGTCATCATTACGACGTTGAGTTAACGTCACTTGGATGGGTAGAATATGACGCCAGTTTCATGACGTTGCAGGGACGTCAGGTCAACGTCATTTTTGTCCATAGTTTGGTAGGTGTGTGTATAATTAGAGAAAGGAAAATAGGATCATTTTGAAAATTTGGAGTTCTGTTCTATCGAAATATTTTCAGCACTTCGGCGATGCCGCATCAATCGAAAAGTAGCAATGACTTATTTGTGATTTCGATTGAAACACCCAGTATTTTATTGTATTTCTGGATTCTCCCTAAAGAGCGGATTTCACCGATCTATCACACATTGGAGTCTAACGCGAGCAAGATTACAGAAATATAGGGTGTGAACAATATTTCAAATTTAGTAATTATATGTGTCAAACTCATAAACTATTGGTAAAAACGGCTTCCATGTCATATCTCAACTTTTGATTCACTATATCTACTGACATTTAATTGAAACAAATACAGAGTGGTTTATAATTCCAAATTCTGATCACCTTGTATCTGTTCCAATTGAATATCAATTGATGGTAAATAAAAAGTTGGGATAGGGGCATGGAAGCTGTCCAAACAGACAGTATTTAAATATTGAATAGTTTCAACACAAAAATCTCCTAAATTCGAAAAATCTCGATTTTTCACTCCCTATAGCCCTGTCATTATTTCCGATAGAGCCCAAGTGTGATGCATACCCAATTCTACAACCCTAGACTTATAGCACGTTCCCCTGTGTCATATGAATACCTGAATAAACCAGTGTTGGGGTTGGAAGCTGTGAAAATCCCACATTTCTTGAAAAAATATAAACTTGCCATTTTCCGCCACATTCAAATTTATTGAATAATCAATCAAGGAATTTGTTTCAAAAAATTAAGATATGCATAATCTATAGAAATGAAGGAAAGTTATTCTATCTTCAAAGATAATAATTTTTCCAACATATTTTTCCTAGAGAAAAATTCGTTGATATAAAAATGAACAAACACAAAACATAGTACACAAACTTTCACGTCACAGGTCAGTGTCAGTACTCTGTGTTCAAAGCGTAGAATGACGGTTTCATGTTACAAAAGTTCTGACACAAGACATAATTTAGATTTCCTTTTTAGATTTTTGATGAAATGGCGATTGATCACCTGATGTAAGATATGAGTTATTACTGGATGAGACGATTAAACCATAACAATACAATATTGCGCATTTGCCAAAAATTTCATTCTGGATTCTGACGGAGATACACGATTTCCTACAAAATTCCCGGAAAATTATTTCTCCCATGAAAAATCACGCTTGCGTTCGGATTTCCCGAAATGCGGAAAATTCCCCGCCAATTGGCAACACTGTGAATAACCCAACGGCCGTTCAACCCAGCGTCCCGACGTTCAGTGCCTCAGTAACCCTAGAATTCTGGTTTCCTTGAAAGCCAGCGCCTTGCGACCTTGAACTGATACTTGGTACCCATTATTCCCAGGAACCCTAAATCAATCAAAACCCGACACTCCTGAAATTTCTGGAAAACACCAGCAAAGTCCCGAAAAACTTAAAAAGTCACCTAAGCAATATTTTACGAGAAACGGAAATTCTCACGAGCTCCTGATGACAAATTGAAAATCTATCTGTGGCAATTATCTCTTACGACCCAGTCTATTATGATTCTGAATCTGAAATGCTGCATTGAATGAGTAGTCTGTTATCAACTCAGATATGGTTAATCTATATCATTTCGAAACATATTCTTGATTCCAGGAACGAACAAAATATTTCCTGTTGACCTTCACTTGGTTGAATATATAAACCAAACTTCGTTATGCATTATGAATTCCCATCACAGACAAATATCTGAATCTGTTACACAATTGAAAAGGTAGATGGTGTGTTTGACATGGTTCAAAAATCGGAGTATGGGGTACAACAATATGCTGGATAAAATCATATCTTTGCCATCGCCAACAAATTGTATATGTAAATGGTTTAAAATCCACCCCCCTTTCGAATAACATCGGGTTACCTCAAGGCAGTCTACTCCAACCGTGTTCCTTATTATGCGCATAAATGATGAAAAATATCATATTATTCATTTCGAAAATAAAAATAAACCCTTAGACTATAGTATCCTGGTGAGATCAAAATGATGGGAGTAGTATACAACAATGGCCTTATATCACGAAAAATTTTTATGTCATAATTCGATAGAACTAGCTCACCACCGCAAACCGTTTCTTGCTGTGAGCTCCCTACGTTTTATAAAAAAATATTGAAATCCCCGATTTTTCGGACCTCTGAAAACGAGGCGATGATGTGACGTCAAAACCCTTATACTGAAACAAGACTATTCCAGACAGAGATGAATGATACATGATTTCTGACAGAGTGAATTAGCGCGAGATCACAGTTGAAAGAATTAATATATCAGTTGTCTCAGTCTCCGTCGGGCGTTTGGTATTTTCTTTTAAATATGGCGAGATGAGGTTTCTACGTCATAAGAAGGTCCGTTTCCAGGAGGTACTATTATTTATGTCCAAAAATAAAACATTCCAGTTAATTTTTCGATCGAATTATGTCGTCAATCATTATTTATGTATAAAAGGATCATTATAAACATGGTTTGAGTTAAAAGTTCTACTAAAGTGTACACGCCCATTGAATAGTACGAAGTTTCTGGGCATTCACCTCGAATCCAAATTCCAAACTGAGCTGGGTTTCACATACTGAGACACTATGTAAAGTCTTGAACTCTCTTTCTTTTTCGTTTCGAAAACTCAGTCCGCATGTCAGTGATTCTACTCTACTCATACTCTTCTATGGCCAATGCTACCGAAAACTATCGTACAACGTGAACTGTTGGGGTAATTCGCGGAATATTGAGGCAGTATTGATATTGATATCGCAAAAAATATAATACGGCAAATTGCGAGAGTAGAGGCACTCATGGAAAGAGCTTTTTATTAAATATAAACTACTCACCGTTATCTCAGTATATATTTTTGCATGTTCAGTGTATGTAAAAAGTAAGATAAATCAATATACCCTCCAAGATGTTCACAGTTACGATACTCGTGGAAAAACTAGAATATGCACTCCTCATTATCGTTTAAGCCGCGCCATGGATTGGTCCCATGCAATGCCAATCAAAATATTCAATAATTCACCATCAGAAATCCAGGACATCTTAAGCATAAACAGGTTCATGAATAGAATTAAAAAACTATCTGTTACCCAAAGATAATTACTCAGTAAGTCAGTATTCTTCCAGTAAACCAGAACTGAAATCGAGATGAAAATTATCATGTTGTTTTCAACATTGTTTTAGTGTGGACGCTTCAAGACATTTCAATTTCAATTGCAATTTTATATCTTCATATGTTATTTCATTTAGTGTCGTTTATTATCTATTGATAAGAAAAATGTTTTTCACATTTTATGACGCATCCTATATCATACATGTCTGTTCAAACCTTTTATATGGATATGTCTTGATCTGAAAGGAATTAAAAAAAATTTGAATTTTGAATTTTTTTTCAGTGATAGGTACCTCATTTGATGGTCAGGTAGCTTCTCGCAACACTTTTCAAATTGCCAGCCTATAAGTGTATTCATTATTTAAATACGCACCCTTATTTCACAAATTTCAATTACCTTGAATGCAATCCTCTATTAAAAAACCTACCTACCTTCCTCACAATGTTCACAAAACGCTTTTCAATTGATTCACTGAATGATATTAATTGACAACGATTGCCGCAAATACTAAATACGCCCCCAATAGTTTTAACTTTTGAATTGCTGCAACAAACATACACTTTTTGTACTAGTTGTACAAATAACATCATCAACTTCATTCACAAGTCAATTTGACACATACTATCAAATTCATTTCCGAAACTTCTTTTAACATTTACGTTTTTTCAGTTATTTTTCAATATTTCACCTGATTATAACCATTCTCACCATTATTATACGAATGTGTATTTACCATAGGCAATATTGTCTCCTGTATGTCGCGTTTTCCCCTGTATTATTAGATATGGGGGTCATGCAGGATCTGATTCTGCTACATATTTTCAACCTCGGATTCCACCTTATATCAGTTCTAAAATTTTCATCCCATCAGAATATTTCTTATATACTTTTTACCCAGCTTACATTATCTGATGGTGATGAGTTCAATATTTCAATAATATATCTATTTACACTGCAAGAAAATCATTTCACATTTATTAACTTTGCTTTCCTCGATTTTTAAGAACAAAAACAACAAAATTTACTAAATATTCGTCATCTCTATTGTCTGCAGAAAGAAAAAAATCAACAGTATTCTGTCATATACAAATTGATTTTCCTTTAACCTCAAATATTTTTTCCATGATAACCATATTCTCATTTATTCCAAGGAGATTAAAAAACTAATTAGGGGTGAGTCGATAAGCCTTAAAAATGTGTAATCGAGCCGAACTATCGACTAGATAACCTCTTGTAATCATTTTTTCCTGTCGCGTCTGTATCGAATATCGCTTATGTCGCTTTCTTCATTCTTCATAACTGCATAGACAAGTAAACAGACTAAAAAGTTCAACAAAATTGAAATGTAAATTGTTCTAGTCGGGATAACTATCAAACTACGACAGTGAAAATATAGTTTAATCGGGAAATCAGTGCAATATGACGAATAAAGATGTAATAAGAGGGCTAGGATGGTTCGTTCTTCCAATTTCAGTTTATTATATTTGGATGAACTTTATCGGATTGGCCATGTTGGAGCTTATCTTTGGTCCTCAGCTTAACAGCTACCATTACGAAGGAGACACCAGATTAAATCGTACCGTAAGTAATTTTTTACAGTGCAAAAATTTAGTAGGGGTTATTTTTAATGGCTTAGGACAATGACTGGAGAGATTGTGAGAATACACCATTGGTAATAAATATACGAATTTTTGTATAGTCTATCCAAAGTCGATTGGAGCATCTCACGCACCGCGCGGCAACGGCGGATTTGAAGTTCCTTTTGAAGTAAGTGCACGTGCGGCTCCAGGCGCTTAAATTGACTTTGGATAAACTATACGACCGACAAAATATGTGGAAGATGTCGTATTTATACAGGGTGGTCCAGGTTAAACGTCATACGGTTTTAAAGGTGATAGAACAACAAAAAAATTGAACTTTCATGAGAGAAGTTCGTTGAAAAATAGTTCCTAACAAAATAACAAGGTATCAAAGTTTTACGCAGAAACTGATTTTCTTATCGAAACTTTTAAACTATTCGACCAATTTTCATTAATTTTCGCACCTATAGACTAATGGGGAGTCGGACAGTTCGTCCACGGGCCGGGTACCTGTTTTAAGTACACCGATCAGTTGGACCACGACCCCTCTTCGAGCGGATTAAGGTTGTATTCTAAGAATTAAAACAATCACTATTTTATCACAACATATATTATTTATTATTGAGGTGAATTATAATAAGACATAATTTTTACAAAATCTTTTCGTGATAAAAGGCCATTTCTTAGCTATAATAAAATCATTTTTTTCTGTGTTGCACTGTTTAGTGTTTTGGTGGAACATTTTACGGAATTTATTTTAATATATATTTCTGCTTGAAAGTTTATTAAGATATTTACAAAATTAAATAAACTTGGGTGAGAACTATAAAAATTAAAATTATAATGGGAATGAAATGATTCACACGCGTTTGTGGTCCTGTACAAGTGTACATACCGTAGTACATCAAGCCCAACTTGGGGGAAAACTAGTTTCTACGATATAATTGCAAAATTCGGGCTATCTGCCTCCACACTGCGACCTTTTCAGATCTATTGTCTATTGCCCTCAAAATCGATTAGAGTTCTTCGGCTAGCCCCGCCTTCTCTATGAGACTCCATAGGCTAGCTTTCAGATCTCCTGTGTATCTCTGGGCTCCTGGTTTTTCCTCACCCAGCGTAATTAACCTCACAAGCCCTCACAGTGGCAAAGTATGTGTACTGCTCTTTCTTCCTCTTCTTGACAGAACCTGCACAGCAGTTCTTCAGTCAGACCTATCTAACTCATGTGTTTGTTGAGCCTACAATGCCCTGTGAGAAGTCCCACTATTATTCTAGTTGAACCTCGTTTCTGGCTTAGTAGATATTCTGTGAATGTTGGCGATGGTTTTTTAATAGACTCTTCAGCCTGTCTCATTCCTGGCGAGTTGTTCCACCATTCTTGAGATTTGGTTTGCATCCATGATTTGATACTAGTCTTTTGTATAGCTTTCGCAATACCACAGAAGGGTTCTGGGCCATTAAGAGCTTTGTTTGCTCATTGCCCTCGTACCCTGTATGTGCTGGTACCCATGCTAGAGTCAATCTGTTCTGACTGCCCAGTGCATTTGGGGTTTCTAAGCAGTCCCATTTCAGAACTGGAAATTTCCCAGAAAAAATATGAATAGTTAGTGAATTGAGTGTCCTGATTCCGAATCCGAAGTGATCTCCAACCTTTTTTGCCTCCTAATATCATTTTCCGGAAATCGGGGTGGTTCCATGGCTGTTGGCGAGCAGTGTATATCACTGGAGATGACCCCACTTGGTCATAGCATTCCAGCAGATTTTAGTATATCTACCCAACGAATACGTAAGATACAGGGGTGTTTCGATTATAAGTGAGACACACTGTGTGTAGGCTGTGACTGTGGATAATATGACTTCCAATGATCTTCACGAAGTAAACCAAACCTAACACGGCCCGTCGAGAACTCATTCGAGAAGTTAAAACTATGACACCCTGTATCTTTGATAGGAAACATTTTTCAACAAAGTCCTCTCAGGAAAGTGTACTTTTTCTTGTTGTTTTATCACTTCTCAAAATTAATTATGTTTGACCTGGGTCACCTAGTTTACATCAATGTTCCTCAATATTTTATTCATGAGTAGTTGTGTTTTTTTTTTCTCAAACTGTCATGCCTTTGTACAAATAATAAGCATTCTTCTGATTTTGACATGTTTCAAAACTTTTCAAAACTGACGGACGTTTTGAAACGTCTGACTTCACGTGACCAGTTGTGTAATATAATGTATTAAATAACTAGTGATGAAATGTTCATTTCAACACCAGTTTCGTAATAAAAAGATGGATGGGCAAAGAGAATAATTTTGTGCTGCTTTTTCATCATTTAGGAAATTTTAACTTGAATCAGCCATTTTCCATAAATGAAGATATCAAACGAGTCTATTTCGTGAATTTCGTCGTTGATTTTTGACAAAATATTGTCTGACGGATACTACAAAGTGACGGGCGATGTCAACTCGCCTATATACTAAATAAAGATATTCTGAGGAAGATTTAGTTGAAGAAATTGTTAATCTTGCTTTTTCACCAGTATTTGTTGAAAAATCTTTGGATGATCGTCCATACATAAAAATGAGAATTTCAAAATGCTTTTGAGGAAACTATATGCTTTCATTACGGTTTGCTGAAAAGTCAGTAAATCGCACTTACCATTCAGTTTGGTTTAGCTATACCATAGTAAACACAACTTACTGTCATGGCATTGGATGTACTGTATATAGATGCAGGAAACAATCCAAAATAAAAAATAGTATACGAGAGTACTTTTTATGTAAATCAAGGAACAGAAAAAAAATATGCATACACCGAGCTGCATTGAATAAGGAAACGAGCTGAGAATAGTCTTCTGTACCCGTGGTTCATACAGGGTTGGTCTTGAGGAAACACCTAATTTTTGACTTAAGCAGAAGTAAAATTACCTACCATTTTCCTAATCAGACTTACATAATTTTTTCTATTCTACTAAACTGTCAATATTGATACCTGATTTTGTTGTTAATATGAAGCAGTCAGCAAATTTTGTCCAACGGATTACCCTGTATATATTTTTTTGGCTGCTCTTTCAACATAGAGTCCAGCTAGATTGTCAAGGTCTAGGTGATACATTATGTTGCAAGCAAATTATTGTTTTCTGAATGTCAAAAGCTGATTGTTGATTTGTTGATCAACATGGTAATCTTTGAACAGTGTCATGATTATGGTTAACCATAAAAATTCTCTATTTTCTTCTTGCAAATTTTGTGTCATCAATAAAATTTTACATTTGGAAGAAACAGGAAACAGTTGTATGTATTGTGCTTAAATGCATAATTGCATACGCAAACTGCAATAATGCTTATGTGTATATTATGATAACTTATACTTTCCCAGAACCAGTAAAAATACACTTTCTGCATTGATTTCGAAAAAGCATTGTTTGCTATTATATTTACTTGACTTGATAATATTGAAATGTTCAATAGTTATTTTTGTATCTAGTGCGTGAAATGCTACTTCGGTGATCGAGAACTGCTTTTTTAACGAGGCGCAGCCGAGTTGAAGAATAGTCGAGATGACAAAAGTATTTCGTGCACGAGTTGCAAACAACATTTTTTCTACAGACGTCAAGAAAGATAGTTTCTAAAGTAGTAATATGTTTAGCTTAATATAAAAAATAGTGTTGAACTGCATCAAAAGGCCTTAATTATTGTTGAACATTCTAAAATAGATAATTTCTTGGATGTTTGCTCGATTGAGGACCATGAAGTTCGAATACAAAAATCTCGTAGTTTACACACAATGCGCGAACTATGGTCTTCTCGCATCATTTTACTTCGCGCACTGCTTCTCAGATGGTATCGTGGTAACGTAGGAGACTGAAAAAAAGTGTCACTTCGCAAATTTTCATCAATGTGCGAACCTTGTTATTTTTTTACGTTTGTAGAAAAATATATGTACTTATTTCAAAAGACGTTGTTTGAGTGGAAGTTATGTGCTTGCTCTCATATTATTTTGAATACAAGAAGTGAAAATGTTTCGATACGTTAGATTCATATCAGGTCTTCATTTTTTTTCTTCAAAACTGAGCAAGACGTGAATAAACTTATGAAACAAGAAAGTTGTATCCCCCATTGTTATATCTGATGAAAATATAAAAGTTGGAAAAATATTCCCAGATCATTCTGGGAATATTATACAGTGTGTCCCACTTACCATGCTCACCATGGGTTTCTTTTTGACGGTGAGAGATACGAGGTCGGTTAAATGACACCAAATGTGGAGTTTGCCAAGGCCAACTATAATGTGAAAGAATATTTCGATAAAATCTATTCGTTTTTGTTTTATACGCAAAAAACAAATTTTGATCAGTTTCATGTCTCCTCCATAACTTCTTTATTTATGTAAATATTCAAATAAGAATTTCACATCCTATTGGCAGTTTTTCAAAGTGATTTCGACAAAAATATGAAATTTATACCAACTCTTCTAGAATTTGAGATATCAGCACCAACTTTGGGTTTTCAAATGTAGGTCATAGCTCACTATGACTTAGTTAAAAATAACTTTTTTTTCTCTTACAGATGATATGTCGCAGTAATAGTTTTGTGTTGATAACGACGGAGTTATCGTCATTTATACAAAACCAAAAAATTATTTGGAAGCCGCCATCTTGAATTCTCAAATTTTAACAAAAAATCATGATCTTCGACCTCAATTACCCCCACTTATTAATTTTGAACTTTGTTAACGTTCTCAATAATATAACGTATAAACAATAGGAAAAAGCTCGGGAAAAACTATCTATAACCATATGACTGTACAAAATCATGAAATTGAGATCTTTCATCTTAAATGAGTGAATTATTGTAAATGACTGCCAAACATTATTATCGCTTAAAATATCCATAAATCATAATGCCAATCATTCCTATAGATTATCTCTCTGTATAACAATGTATTTTTGTTTTTATTCTTGCTAATCCTTAGTTTGCTACACACTTGAATACTCGCTTGAATATCAA